CAAAATTCTGTAAAGCAATTATCCTTCAATTAAAAAATAAATTAATTTAAAAAAAGATTAGGAAAAAAAAAAAGATGATCCTTCTACGGCTTCCCTGCTGGCTCATTGGTAAAGAATCCCCCTGTTAATGTAAGAGACACAGGTTCGATCCCCGACCCAGGAAGATCTCACATGCCGTGGGGCAGCTAAGCCCGTGCACCACAATTACTGAGTCTATGCTCTAGAGCCCATGAGCTGCAGCTGCTGAGGACTGTGCACTGTAGAGCCTCTGCTCGGCAACAACAGAAGCCACCGCAATGAGAAGCCCACGCACCGCAACTAGAGAGTAGCCCCTGCTCGCCGCAACTAGAGAAAGCCTGCACACAGCAAAGGAAGACCCAGCAGAGCCAAAAATAAATAAATAAATAAATAAAAATAAACATTACAAATGATTAAAAGGATGACCCTTCCAATACAGAAAGGAGATTTCACTCTTTTCATTTTTCAGAATGTCCACCTTTCTTTTTGAGTACCTGGATTCAGTCCTCCACGAGGATGACTGCACCTCTTTGCAGTCCTTCAGTTGTAATGTCACTAAAGCCTTCTCTTCGGGCACGACAGTCAGGAGACATACCAGTTCTAACAGCTTCAGCAGCCGTGTCAGTCCCTGAAGGCTGATTTTCCAGTGCCTTAAAGGCAACAGCCAGTCCTAGGTAAAGGTGCCTGATCTCATGAGAGGGTCAGGAGCCAGTGGATATCCATGAGAGTGATTTCTGCTTCCCAGGGCAGCCACTCTCAGGATCTTTCCTTGTTCATGTAGAACTGAGATGTGGAGGTTCCTGAAGTTGGCTATTACACTGTTGCTGTTGTTGTTTTTCACTAAAGGCATCAATCCTACATGTACATACGCCACTCTGATATTTGAATCTGCCTCCCAGCAGAGATCTTGAGAAATACAATTTCAGGTTGAGCACCTGTAATGAGATGCATCAGAGTCAGCAGAAGAACTCCAGCAGTGTTGGTTCCCTAGAGACCTATGGAGTCTAAAAAAAGACAGACTCACCTATTCATTGATAGAGACAGCACGTAGGAGGTGGAATTCATTAAAACGATCCAAACAGCGGTTTTAGAATTTCTCAAAGAGCAGAGAGATACAGAAGCAGCAACTACAACAAATTTAGCCTTAGTCCTCTCCCACCCTCTTCTTGGAACAGAAAACATGTGGTCCTTTCCCACAGAAAGACTTTCAAATAGAGTGGCTTTCTCCTCAGAAAGAAGAAAAAACCAGGCATTTCACCAGTACCAATAACAGAAAGAAATGTATTGATCTGTTAATAATCATGAGAATACATTTGTTCTCTGTTCACAAAAGTTAACCTCAAAAACTCCTCTCAAAAACTACTGATAGAAACAAAGAATAAAACCATTTCTGAGAAGTAATAAGAAAAAGAAAGGAAACTGTGGTTCCAATGGAATGGCCCTGTTAGAGAAAGAAGCCACTCAAGCCAAGACATGCCAGGAATCTAACATTTTACAACCAGTTTTCACTAATATGAAGATCTTTCAAGAATAATTTAAAAGCACTTTAAGGATCAGGTCCTTATTTTATCAAGCAAAAACTCTAAAAAGGTCCCATGGTCTGAAAAGCCAGACTGAATTTACAAGAATGTCTTGGGGTTTCAAACCCAATCACCTGAAAACCATATATTCACAACAACAAAAACTGCACTAACCATGTTAGGAAGACCGGTTTCTCCTCCTATGAACTCAAGGGAATGAGGAATATTTCAAGTATATTATACATTGTATACAAATATAGCTAGTTTGAGATTACTTTTTATGGCATCTGATGGGAATAGGGTTCCATAAAACGCAGCTTTGGAAATGCTGATCTTAGAGATCTTTCTTTTTATTAACTTCATAATAAACTACCTTATTCTACTTTTATAGCAGCACAATATTACACTGTACAGATCTATCACAATACATTTAACCACACTCACAGTTAGCATTTAAGTGGTATCCATTTCTCAAATTACAAACAATATTGTAATGAACATCTTTGTACACACATCCCTGTGCACCTGTGCAAGTATTTCAGCAGGACAGATCTTAGAACAGAATTTCTGAGCCACAGACTGAACTCACTTAACATTTTACTAAGTGTAGTCATACTGCCACTCAAAATACTTCCTCAATTGTACAACCCAGGCCCTGCCCCTCTGCGTCTGCCTCAACACTTTGTTAGCACCAATACTGATATACTTCCTCAGTCTAAAGGGTGAAAAGTATCTTTGTCTTCATTTGCATTCTATAGTTACTTATGATGTTAAGCACTTTTTTTGTTTATTGGTTTCCTCTATTTCGTATAAATTGCCTGTGCATATCCTTTGTCCACTTTTTTTTAAAGTTAAGATTTTCACCTTTATTATTATTATTTATTTGGCTGTGCTATGTCTTAATTGCAGCATGTGGGGTCTTCAGCTGTGGCATGTGGGATCTAATTCCCTGATCAGGGGTTGAACTAGGGCCCCCTGCATTGGGAGAGCAGACTCAGCCACTGGATCACCAGAGAAGTCCAACACTTTTCTTTTTTCAACAAGTCTCTACATATTATGGATACCTTCTCTAACACATGTTGCAAGTATTTTATGTCTCTAATTTTAAGCACTTTGCTCTTTTCAAATACAGCAAATATTTTTCAAAATATTTGGCACATGGGCTTTTCTGATGTAATTTTGATATAATTTAATTAGTGCATTTTCCCCAGAGGGTTTTGGGTCCTGTCCTGGCAGTTTGGTACGCCTATAACATAAAGTGCAAGGACAGAAGGCAAAGCAGTATGCAATATTAAGGTCATAAAGGGCTTTGTCGTTGTTGTTCAGTCACTCAATCATGGCCAACTCTGCAACCCCATGGACTGTAGCATGCCAGGTTTCCCTGTCCTTCACCAACTCCCGGAGTTTGCTCAAACTCAAATCCATCAAACTGGGGACGCCATCTAACCATTCTGTCCTCTATAGTCTCCTTCTCCTCCTGCCTTCAATCTTTCCCAGCATCAGGGTATTTTCCAATGAGTTGGCTCTTTGTATCAGGTGGCCAAGATATTGCAGCTTCAGCATCAGTCCTTCCAATGAATAACCTTTAGGATTGACTGGTTGGATCTCCTTGCATTCCAAGGGACTCTCGAGTCTTCCCCAACACCACAGTTCAAAAGCATCAATTCTTCAGCGCTCAGCTTTCTTTATAGTCCACCTCTCACATCCATACGTGACTACTGGAAAACCATAGCTTTGACTACACCGACCTTTGTTGGCAAAGTAATGTTTCTGCTTTTTAATACACTGTATAGGTTTGTCATAGTTTTTCTTCCAAAGAGCAAGCAAAATCACTGCAGATGGTGATTGCAGCCATGAATTTAAAATATGCTTGCCCCTTGGAAGAAAAGGGCTTTGACGTCACTGTTAAGAAACTAAAACATTATCCTGATGGCATCAGGGAAGTATACAAAAGTTTTCAGCAACAGAGTGGCTTTCAATATTCTCCATTTAATAAGAGCACCTACTGTGCCATGATCAATTCTGTCTCTTAGAAAATGGTAATTTTTGTACCTTTAATATTTCCCACAATTCAAAGTAAGTAAAAGAAACAGAAAACTCATTAAATCAAAAGACACAATTATGGGGATCTGCTCTGCCACATATTAAAACTTATTTTATATTAAAACAAAATGGTATCAGTGCAGAAACTGTGAGAGCAATGTAACAGGCTAGAAACAGATTTGAGTATACAAACGTCTGTAGAATAGATAAGTGTCATTTCAATTCACTGGGAGATGACGGCAAGATCACCGGGGAAAAAGGCATTTTTCTATCTTACAGGTTATCACAAAATTAATATCCAATAGGTTAAAATGTAAAAACAAAAAACCCAGCCGCCGCCGCCGCCCGTCCGGACCGAGGCGGGAGAAGGTGATGAGGGCCCTGATGCCTGAGCCAATGACGCCCAGTGACGGGGCCCCTGGGGCTGGACCAGCCGCCGGGGCCAGCCAGGCTCTGACGAAAGCCTCCCAGCAATGGCGGCCGCGCTGCGCTGGCTCCGGCTCGGCGATACGCATGCGCCGGCGGTGCCGGAGCCCGACCTCTTCCCACAGGCCGGGCTGGGAACTCCCACCCGCTTCCCGCGGTCGGCCGCTCACCAGGGCCGCGCTGACCACCCGGTCCCCGGCCCCCGCTCCCGGCCTCGCAGAAATGCTTCTTCAGAGAGGACCCAGGACCCTCCCAGAACCCTTGACGATCAGAAGCTCCAGCGTGGGGCGCCGCGCGGTCCCTAGGTGACCACACAAGTCGTCGCTCTCCTCAGTCCTGAAATACCGCCCCTTCCCCAATTTTATATCGACGAAACTAAAGATATAGTAATAACGATTGAATGTATAATACAAGTATACTGATGAGAAGAATGGAATTCTTTTAACGGAGATAAAATTGGAACTCACCAGAATCGATTGCAAATGCTTATCTGTTAATGCAGGAATTCAATGAGGAAGGGAGACACTTTTCAACAGTGCTGGGAAAACTGGATGTGCACTTGGAAAAGAATAAAATTGGACCTTAGACTTAACAGAACATACATAAATTAATTCAAAACGGATCAAAAAACCTAAATGTGAGAGGTAAAATTATAAAACTCTTAGAAGAAAACATAGGAATGGAAAGCTTCATGATGTTCTTTTGGCAGTTATTAATATTTATTGTAGATGGCATCGAAAGCACAGGCAACAAAAGAAAAAAAAATGGATAAACTGGACTTCAATATTTAACACTTCTGTCCATCAAAGAACAGTAATAATAGAGTGAAAAGACAATCCACAAAATATTTGCAAGTCATATATCTGATAAGGGATTAAGGTCCAGAATGAATAAAAAATTCCTGTAAGTTAACAACAAATAAACAGGCATCCAGATTTTAAAATGAGCAAAGGGCTACTTCCCTGGTGGTCCAGTGGCTAAGATTCCATGCTCCCATTGCAGGGAGCCTGGGTTTGACTGGTGGTCCGGGGAACTGGATCCCACATGCTACAGCTAAAGATTCACCATGCCCCAAATGAGATCTGACACAAGCAAATAAATAAAAATGAATATTTAAAAAAAAATTAGGCAAAGTAATTTAATAGGGATTTCTTCAAGCAAGGTATACAAATGACCAATAAGCACATGACAAGAGGTTCAGTATCACTCATCATTAAGGAAATGCAAGTTACTGCATTGAGGTACCAAGTCACAGACACTAGGATGACTACTATTCAAAAAACAGAGTTCGAGTGTTGGCAATGATGTGGAGTAATCCGAACTCCTTTGTGTTACTGATGGGAATGTAAAATGATACAGTTGCTGTGGAAAACAGTTTGGCGATTTTTCAAAACATTAAACATAGCCTTGCAATATGACTCAGCAATTCCATTTTGGGGTAGATAACCAAAAGTATTGAAAACAGGATCTCAAAAGAGATATTTGCATCTCCATGTTTGTTGCAGTATTATTCACAATAGCCAAGAAGTGAAAGAAATCCAGTGTTCATTCACAGATGAATGAATTCACAAAATGTAGTATTTATACATATTCTATGGAATATTATTCAACCTTAAAAAGGAAGGAAATTCTAAAACATACTACAACATGGATTAATACCTTGAAGACATTATTCAAAGTGAGATAATTCAGTCACAAGAGGACAAATACTATTTGATTCCACTTACAAGTGATACCTAGTTAAACACAGATACTGAAAGAAATTACAATTGTTGCCAGGGGCAGGAAGTGGGGTGGAGGTGGCTGGTTACTGTTTAATGAGTACAAACTGTCAACCTGAGAATATGAAAGGAGTTCTGGAGATGGAGGAAGCTGATGGTTGCACAGAAATGTGAATTAACTGAATGCCACTGAACTTAAAATGGTAAATTTTATATTATGTATTTTTAATACCATAAAATGAGAAAAAAGACAGCTGGATCCTTGTATCTGTTTCTACCTTGAATCTTCTGAAATATGTTGTTTTGGTTGATGTTTCTGAAGAAAATCTGGCTTCATATAGATACTTAGTTGGAAAAAAAGAATCCTTTAATAAGTCTTCTCACATAATTGTGACTGTTTTTCTTTGATACTCTACCAAAACTCGATGAGATTAGTTGCAATGTAGAATCTGAAACCATATTCATACACTTTTTGTTTTTACATAAAAATCTGTTGAAAAAGTAGAATTGTTAGTTGCTCAGTCCTCTCCAACCCTACGTGACCGTATACTGCAGCCTGCCAGGCCCCGTTGTCCATGGGATTTCCCAGGCAAGAATACTGGAGTGGGTAGGCCATTCCCTTCTCCAGGGGATCATTTCAACCCAGGGATCAAACCCAGGTCTCATGCATTGCAGGCAGATTCTTTACAGTCTGAGTCACCAAAATCTATTTGTCAGTCTCATTCTCCAAATGGATCTTGAACTCATGTATGACTTTGTAATGTCACACATTGGCCATTTGGAAAATAGCTATTTACTGAGTTACCTTACTCAGTAGGTCCTAGCTGGGTATGATTTTATCCTCCAGGAAATACTTGGCAATGTTTAGAGATTTGGTTGTCCAAATCTGCTACTGACATCTACTGGATAGAAGCTAGAGATATCGTGAAACATTTTACAGTGCACGACAAAGGATTATAGAGCTCCAAATGTCTACAGTGCTGAGGTTGGAAAACCCTAGTTTATTTAGGGCTGACATATTTCACTCTAAAGTATAAAAACATATATTTGTTAATGTCACCACTAATCTTTTTGGGAAAATTTGTTGAGTGTTTGGAAGCTGTCAAGATGGTAGATACAAGTTCTCCAAAAACTTAAAGCTCAAATGTTGCCATTTACAGCATGTATTTTCAGTTCTTTTCCTTCCTGTTACAAAGCACACTTCATTTATTTTCAAGAACCTGTCTTAGAAATAACCAAGCCTAAAAAACTAGTATTTGTCAGTTGTTTTTACAGTTGAAATTGACATTCCATAAAATAAGGAGTTACTCTTTCTCATAGCCACATAACTTGTTTTACTCAAGAATGCCACCACACCTGGTATAAATGTTTTATGGATGCTCACTACCTTGACTGAGCTTCCCTGGTGTCTCAGTCATTAAAGAATTTCCCTGCAATGCATGAGGCCCGAGTTCCATCCCTGGGTCAGGAAGATCCCCTGGAGAAGGAAATGGCAACCCACTCCAGTATTCTTGCCTGGGAAATCCCATGGACAGAGGAGCCAGGTGGGTTACAGTCCATGGGGTAGCAAGAGTTGGACACAACTGAGTGACTAAACCACCACCACTTCTACCTTGATTAAAGTAGCAGCAGATTTACCGACTATTGCTTTAGAACCATCAATGCAAATGCTAACACAGTGGAAAAAGCAAATTAACATTAGTATTATTAGAAAAAAGTTGACCTTATGGCCCCCTGAAAAAGAGTCAGGGTCCTCAGGGCCCCAGGGACTACACCTTGTAAACTTCACCTCTAGATTTATGTGAGAGAAGTAAACCCATTAATTAGGTTTTAAAAAACAAGTTAACTTGTACTTCTAGTTTTCAATTTTTCTTCTGCAGACTTGCCAGAGTTGGCAGTAACACAGAGATATTCTATTTTTAAAAAATTCTCTTTTTTAGATGTCAGATGTTATTGAGATATAATTGAAAATTATAAAACTTCTAAGATAAAATTGAAAATATCGATAGAAATTGTATATATTTAAGGTGTATGATGTGGTGTTTTGATACACACACACACACACACACACACACACATTGTGAAATGATAACCACAATGAAGCTAAAATATCCATCACCTCACATAGTTACCGTTTTGTGTGTGTGTCTGTGTCTTGGGGGGAGAAGAACACTTAAGATCTATTCTTTGAGCAAATTTCAAGTATACAATACAGTATCGTTAATTATACTAACCATGCTGTACATTAGATCTCTAGAATTTTTTCATTTCCTTCCTTTTTCGCCATTTCCTTCTCCAGGGGATCTTCCTGACCCAGGGATTGAACCTGGGTCTCATGCATTGCAGGTGGTATCCTACATTGCAGGGGGATTCTTTACTGACTGAAACATGAGAATCTTAAGTTTATACTACTTGACTTCAAATTCTGAGATACAATGGCACCCCACTCCAGTGCTCTTGCCCGGAAAATCCCAGGGATGGAGGAGCCTGGTAGGCTGAGGTCCATGGGGTCGCTAAGAGTTGGACACAACTGAGTGACTTCACTTTCACTTTTCACTTTCACACATTGGAGAAGGAAATGGCAACCCACTCCAGTGTTCTTGCCTGGAGAATCCCAGGAATGGGGAAGCCTGGTGGGCTGCCGTCTATGGGATCACACAGTCGGATGATAAGTATAAGAAGTTAAGAAACAATCACTTTTCAGTGGTGTAAGTGTCTACTGTTAATTAAAACCCAGAAAGCACTGTGATACCCATCATTGTTGCTCTGTTAAATAATACAGAACCTTTATATACAGTAGACTAGAGTAAACCATGGGCATCCCCAGTGTCTCAGTGGTAAAGAATCCGCCTGCAATGCAGGAGCTGCAGGAGATGCAGGTTTGATCCCTGGGTCAGGAAGATCCCCTGGAAAAGGGCATGGCAACCCACGCCAAGATTCTTGCCTGGAGAATCACATGGATAGAGGAGCCTGGTGGGCTACAGTCCATAGGGTCGCAGAGTTTTACACGACTGAGAACACATGCACAGAGTAAACCATATCACAGAGCATAGCATCATCTGTAATAGAAACCACTGTTTACCATTAGGAGGAAAAAATGAGGTAAATTTATGTATTAAAGTGGAATAATCCTCAGGATATATCAAGTGAAAAGACCATGGTACGGAACCATTCTTTAATTCTGTTTGCTTTTCTCTTTGCTATCAGTTCAGTTCAGTCGCTCAGTCGTGTCCAACTCTTTGCGACCCCATGAACCGCAGCACGCCAGGCCTCCCTGTCCATCACCAGCTCCCGGAGTTCACCCAAACCTATGTCCATTGAGTCGGTGATGCCATCCAACCATCTCATCCTCTGTTGTCCCCTTGTCCTCCTGCCCTCAATCTTTCCCAGCATCAGGGTCTTTTCCAATGAGCCAATTCTTTGCATCAGGTGGCCAAAGTATTGGAGTTTCAGCTTCAACATCAGTCCTTCCAAAGAACACCCAGAACTGATCTCCTTTAGCATGGACTGGTTGGATCTCCTTGCAGTCCAAGGGACTCTCAAGAGTGTTCTCCAACACCACAGTTCAAAAGCATCAATTCTTATGCACTCATATTCTTTATATAGCAAAGCTTTCTTTATATAGCTCATCAGCTTTCTTTATATAGCAAAGTGCTATTCCCATATATAATATTTCCTTTTAAAACATGCCTCATAGTCTCAATATCTTTGTGTTGTGCTCAAAAACAGGGTAGCATGTCCTTCTCAGGCAATGTTGCTTAGAAATCAGCACAGTGTGCTCTCATGTACCTCTCCTCCCTCATTCCAAATTGTTGCAAAGACAAAGAATATTAAGTTCACAAGTGGGGACAGTGGAAAGAACACCAGCTTCGGAGTCAGTTCAGACCTGTGTCTGCAACAGAGCTGACATCTTGAGCAAGTAAGTCCCTTAATTTTTCTGATTCTGAATTTTCTTTTTTGGCATATGGTGATGAAAATATGTGTATCTCATATTTACTCTGGGGATTAAAATAAAAGCGCATATGTACTCAGCACAATGCTAGGCGCATACTAAGTGCTTCATAAATGAAAACTATCATTAATTTAGTTCCATGTCTATGGGAGTCATTTAGATATTTAGAAGCTCTGCTTTCCCAGTTTTCCTTCAGTAAGTACACTCTTAACACCTCAGTCTCTGCTGATAAGATACTCTGGAAAATTAAGTAATTATGAGTGTCTTTCTGCTTCTTTTAGCACTTTTTAAGAGGAATCGGAGGGTGGGTAAGATAAGGATATAGGCTTAAGAGACACAACCTAGTATGTATAAGTCACTCAGTCATGTCTGAGTCTTTGCAACTCCATGAACTATACAATCCATGAAATTTTCCAGGCCAGAATACTGGAGTGGGTAGCCTTTCCCTTCTCCAGGGGTTCTTCCCAACCCAGTATGTATAAAATAAATAAGCAACAAGGATATATTGTACAGCACAGGGAAATATAGCCATTATTTTGTAGTGAGTTTAAATGGAGTAGAGTCTATAAAAATATTGAATCACTATTGTACACTTGAAATTATATAATATTGTAAATTAACTATGGGCTTCCCTGATAGCCCAGATAGTAAAGAATCTGCCTGCAATGTAGGAGTCCCAGGTTCAGTCCCTGAGTTGGGAAGATCCCGTGGAGAAGAGAATGGCTACCCACTCCAGTATTCTTGCCTGGAGAAGCCCATGGACAGAGGAGGCTGGTGGGTTACAGTCCGTGGTGACTACACTAAAAAAAAGGGAGAAAGAAAATTCCCTATTTCCATTTCTCATGACCAGAGAGTCGTTTAAATAAGAATGAACTGTGTCCTTTTGATTTCAAAATGGAGTTTACCTTTCTTTAGATGCTTTTTGTGTATTTATGATTAAATGTATTACTGTATGTTACAAGTTGAATGTTACATATAATATTCTTTATTATATAGAAGCCTAACTAGAAAAATAACCATAATTTAAAACAGGTCAATAGTATGGACTGAAAACCAAAATCTGGGATAATGTCTATATTGGATTCTCTTATTGATATAAATTATATTGTAGGAATGTAGCCTTTTCATCTTTTTAAGGTTTTTGTTTCTTTATTTTCAGCTCCTTCAGTCTGACATGGCAGAAAAACCAATGTGTCCCTCCACACAAATACCCGATGATGAAGACACAGTTGAGTATATCTTTCAAAGAGAACTCTTCATTTTGTACTTCAACAAGATTGCATATTTTCAAAATATTGATTCAGTAAACTGATATAGACCTAGCTGATAAAGGCTTATCTTTATTACTTTTGGGCATGAATTAAGTTTTATGCTGATTGGACTTAATCATTCCTCTGTCAATGGACATTTAGGTTGCTTCCATGTCCTGGCTATTGTAAATAGTCAATGAACATTGGGGTGCATGTATCCTTTCAGATCATGTTTTTCTCTGGATATAGGCCCAGGAGTGGGATAGCTGGGTCATATGATGTTCTGCTTTTAGTTTTTAAGGAGCCTCCATACTGTTCTCCATAGTAGCCATACTGATGTACATTCCCACCAGCAGTGTCGGAAGGTTCCCTTCTCTCTACACCCTCTCCAGCATTTATCGTTTGTGGATTTTTTGATGATAGTCATTCTGGCTGGCATGAGGTGATATCTCATTGTATTTTTGATTTGCATTTCTCTAATAATTAGCGCTCTTGAACATCTTTTCATGTGCCTCTTGGCCATCTGTATGTCTTCCTTGGAGAAATGTCTGTTTATATCTGCCTGTTTTTTGATTGGGTTGTTTGTTTTGATTCTGTTAAACATCACAAGCTCTTTGTAAATTTTGGAGACTAATCCATTGTCAGTCACATCATTTGCAAATATTTTCTCCCAGTCTTCGAGTTGCCTTTTTGTTTTGTTTATTGTTTCCTTTGCTGTGCAAAAGTCCTTGAGTTTAGGTATGTCCCATTTATTTTTGCTTTTATTACCATTATTCTGGGAGAGCAATCAAAAAAGATATTGCTGTGATTTATGTCAGAGAATGTTCTGCCTATGTTTTTCTTTAGGAGTTTTATAGTGTCCAGTCTCACATTTAAAATCTTTAATCCCTTCTGAGCTTACTTTTGTGTATGGTGTTAAAGAATGATAAAAATTCATTTTTTTTTCATGTAGCTGTCCAGTTTTCCCAGCACCATTTATTGAAGAGACTGTCTTTCCTACATTGTATAGTCTTGTCTCTTTTGTCATAGATTGTGAAACTGTGAAAGTCACTGAGCTGTGTCCGACTGTTTGGAACCCAGGAATTATCCAGGCCAGAATACTGAAGTGGGTGGCCTTTCCCTTCTCCAGGGAATCTTCCCAACCCAGGGATTTAATCTAGGTCTCCCACATTGCAGGAGGATTCTTTACCAGCTGAGCCACAAGGAAAGCCCAAGAATATTGGAGTGGGTAGCGTATCCTTTCTCCAGAGGATCTTGCCAACCCAGGAATCAAACCAGGGTTTCCTGCATTACAGGCAGATTCTTAACCAACTGAGCTATCAGGGAAGCCTTGTCACAGATTAATTGACCATTAATCTATGACTAGGTGCATGGCTTATTTCTGGGTTCTGATGGAAGTTAAATATCAATGATGGTTTAAATAATTGTTGTATATCTCTTGCATCTGCAGACATTTTAACATTTATTTTATTTATTTATTTGGCTGCGCTGGGTCTTAGCTGCAGCACATGAGATCTTTAGTTGCAGCATGTGTGATCTAGTTCCCCAACCAGGGATCAAACCCAGGCCCCCTGCATTGGGAGCATGTAGTCTTAGCTCCTAGACCCCCAAGGAAGTTTTTTTTTTTCCCCCAGGCAAGTTTTGCAGACATTTTTAGTAGTGCAAAAGACTATTTCAGTTTTTTGGGGGGGAAGGGCTCTTTTTAAAAATTTATTTTTAATTGGAGGTTAATTGCTTTACAATGTGTTGGTTTCTGCTGCACAACAGCATGAATAAGCCATAAGTATACTTATATCCCTTTCCTCAAGACTATTCTAATTTAACTCCAATGAATAAAAATTGAAAACTCCAGAACCTCCTAGTAGGTGGGAGGAACAGTACTACTTTGATGCATATGCTTGTGAAACTTCAGGCACTGATAATAAATAATTTTAAAATGAAGTTATTTTAGAAAATGGCAGGGTGGCTGCTTTTTAATTACTTTACTGAGTGAGAAATTGAACCAAGTTCAATTTTAAGATGAGCCTCTCTACTAGGGAAAACAGTACCTCACATAAAATTTTGCACTAAAAGAGTAGCATGTCTGAGTGAGTGAAAACTGGGTTTTAGAAATGTCTTTGGTCAAAACACCAAATAGATCCATGAGTACTGAGCTACGTTAAGTAGTGGTTGCTTATGTCTTAGTAATGGTTCTCTTGATGTTTTCCTCCAAACATGCATGTTTTTTCTAGATCTTAGTTTAAATCAAACTATCATTTTTTTTTACACTGTCGTCATCTTGGATTGAGGTATGGTGCACAGTGCTTCTCCATATGGTGGAGATTGAGGTGTTGGGTGCAGTGGTCTGAACCGGCAACTCTAATCCTCTGCATTTGGCCCCCTTAGGCAAGCAAAACTAGGCTAAACACAAAAGAAGAGGTTGCATCTTATTTGATCACCTAGATTCCATCTTACTTTTACTGGGGACCCTAGTGGGCTTTGCTGGTGTCAAAACTACTGTCAGAGTCCTATCTCAGTGACTAAACCACTGACTTATGCCCATTCCATTTTATCTTTGGCCTCTCTGATGCGTTAAATCATAGTGAGTGCTCCTTTGTTAACATGACATTAAAATGATAACATTTTAGAATAGGCTGATCCCCAAGGTCAATTAGTCAAACTTTAATCTCATATATAAATGTTTGCTACAAACGCTTTAACAAGTAACCTTCCAACCTTTTTTTGAACCCCTTACAATTGGCAACTTAGTTTATTCTCCCTTTTGAAATTAAAAATACCATTCTCACATTATTAAAAGAAAAATTCAAACAGTAGAAAGGAGAAAATTCTCTTCTCAATCTAGTTCTTTACAGGCAATAACTAGTCTAATCTTTGGACAACTTTTTATGTTAGCACGTACAGATCAATCTTATTCTTTTTAATAGCTCTCGTCTTTTACTGTTGTAAATACTTTTCTTTAACAACCAGTCCCCTATTGGTAGCTATAAGGTAATTTCTGGCTTTGTTTTTGTTTTCTGTTATTCTATACAATACTGCTTTGAATATGTTCCTACATACTTTTTTATGTACACGATGAAATATTTTCCTAGAAATGAAATTTTTGGGTCAGATAGTATAAGCCATTTAAATTGATAGTAATTATAAAAATGCTCTATAAAGTTATGTTTACACTCCAGCCACCAACATATGAAGATGCCTGGTATCTCTCTCTTAAATTGGAATTCAAGGCTTAAGTAGATCCATTTAATTTTTGTATAACTTTAATTATGAAAAAATCCTGCTCATATATTGTATAAAATTAGTCCTTTGGAATTTGTCCCTTTTTGCCATTACCTTGAATGCCACAAAATAATGTAATCCTTTTTCCATAGGACAGTCTTCACGTGTTTTCAGATTTGTCCCTCTAAAATGCTTCTTTTGCTCACCTTCAAATTTTCAGTTTATTACATAGTTTTTTAGAAATTGAGGTATCATTGACATATAACATTGGATTAGTTTTGAGTGTGCAACATAATGATTTGATGTTGTATATGTTATATGCGTTAGTTGCTCAATCGTGTCCGACTCTTTGTGACCCCATGGACTGTAGCCCATCAGGATTCTATGTCCATGGGATTCTCCAGGCAAGAATACTGGAGTGGATTGCCGGTCCCTTCTCCAGAGGATCTTCCTGATCCAGAAATCGAACCCTGATCTCCTTCATTGCAGGCAGATTCTTAATCCTTTGAGCTCTAGGGAAGTCCTTATTGCAAGATGACTACCATAATAGGTTAGTTAGCATCCATTACCACATGCTATTCCAACTATTCTTTTCTCACGAGATGTTTTAAATTCTGTTATTAGCCTCATCAACCTCCTTTGGACTCCTGTCTTCATTTCTCCCTCTCTCCTCTCTTTTCCCTTTTCTTCCTCTCATTCTCCCTTCCTCTTTTCCTTCTTTCTTCTCTCGCCCCTTTCCTTCCAGACTTTTTATAATGAGCAGCAACAATGTACCAGAAACTATGCCAAATGTGATGATGTAGTGTTCTAGTGTCCTTCTTAGAGCCGAAGATGAATTTCCAAGGAAAGTTCCCACAGAGATAAGTTCAGACTGCCCATCCTTTTATCTGGATACACTGACTACCCTAGGGTTTTTTTCGTCTACAGTTATATTACAATGTAAATTTTTACCTTTATAATCACCTGAGTTTCTTGCTTCTTCTTCCTCTTTATGCTTTTATCAAGCTTCACTTGCCATTAAGCCATGGATTGTAAATGCAATATGGTGTGTTTAATTCTTTTGGATTTTTCCATAGTTTTCTCATCTGTCACAATATTTTTATAGTTGACACTATTTTGATTCTTTTTTCTGTCTTCCTGTCTGGTTATTCTTCATCTTCTTTTTAGGCTTCTTTTTTCACCTTCTGAGAGTGGGCATTTTCCCATGTCTCATTCTTGTTCTTTTTTATCTTTCTTCAAACCTCCACTGTGCTCAAATATATATAATCACTTTCAGGGTATTTCTATACTTTGTTTAGAATTAGAATTTCAAAATTCAAACTTATCTTGTTCTCACACAGGAATGTACTAACTTCCTTTTCTGATCTTCCTATTACTGGCCATGGTATCTATACCTGATTAGTGGTCAAGTTCTTTTAATTTTTTTTTTCCCGGAAAGCCTCCTCATTCTCTATATTTTCCATTCACACTAGTAATTTTATCACCATTCACTTTAGAAAATGTTATTTATTTCTGGCTGCATTGCTGTCTTCATTGCTACATGTGGGCTTTCTCTAGTGGCGGGAGCTGGGGCTACTCTCTAGTTGTGGTGCATGGGCTTCTCGTGGTGGTGGTTTCTCTTGTTGTGGAGCGTGGGCTTTAGGCACAAGGGCTTCGGTAGTTGCAGCACTCAACCTCAGTAGTTTAAAAGCATAAAGAGGAAGAAGCAAGTGGCATATGGGCTTAATTGCCCCAAGGCATGTGGGATATTCCTTGACCAGGGATTGATCCTGTGTTCCCTGCATTGGTAGGTGGATTCTTAACCACTAGACCACAAGGGAAGCCCTACCACTCACTCTTATAAGGGAAGGTCTTCCCAACTCACGGCTCTAGTTTCCTCTCCAGGCCACTTTGCATGCTAGTGCCTCATTCATCTCTTTGAAATGTTTCTTCCTTCTATTATTCTCTGACTCAAATCTCCAGCCACTGCCCATTACTAATTCGAGAAAAACCCACATTCCTTAGCCTCATATCCAAAAACTCTCTCTTGTTAGGGTCCTTTTTATCTTTTAAGTCTTCCCAATTTAAGTCTTTTCCTTCAGTTTTCCCAATTTAAGTCTTTTCCTTTAGGTAGGCAAGTTCTTTACAACACCAGGGCAAATAGTACATTGTTCATTTGCCATATTTCCCTCTTGCTCATAATATCTACTTCCTCCATACAAATCTTATCCTATTTTCAAGAGCCAATCTGTCATTTTTTAAAATAATTTTTAACTACTCCACGTTAACAGTCATCTATCCTTCTTCCAAATTCCTATATTTTTTTAATTAACTTTTCTAAAATTTTGATACTTAGTATGATATTAATAAATATTTTAACTTTTTCTGCATGGCTTTTATTCTCCTTGAAATTATATGCTCTTCATAAATAAAACTCTCTGACTTATAGAACATTAGAGTGTGAAAGAATTTTAAGCTCACTGGTCAAATGTTCTCATTTTATAGAAGAGAAAACAGGCATTAGTGACTGTCCCAAAGGCTCACAATAATAATGACTTTTCTTATTCAGCTACCTTTCCCCATATGACTGGGAAAAAAGCTCATTGATTACAGGGTAAACATCAGGGCTTCTCAGAGCTTGAAGAGTCCTTTATAATTTACATACTTTGCATGCAGTAATCCCATTTTCTAGATGTAGTCTATATGTCCTTGTTATCATGAGAGATTAAAATAATGTATGGTTAGCATTTCAGTTTCATTTGAATGCATATGAAATAATCCTTTTCATGGTAGGTTAAACCTTATATTTTTATATACTTATCTTATGTGTACCTTATACACCTTCTTAATTTGCTTTACTGTGGATGATGCAAAGGTGAAATCAAGAAAGATATTTGCATGATCATAAATGCCAAATTAGTAGAACCTGAAATATTGAAGTTTTCTACATAAATTATATCATAATTTTATAAAAATAAATATTATAAAAAGAACTTTCAGCCCAATGGAAGACAATTGTTAAGTAATTGTGATGATTCAAAACTTTGCTTGTTCTATTTGTTCTGTGGGTAAAAACTCAGTGCTAATGAGGCCAAGGTTTCTGGTCTTTTCCTGATAAAAAAAATGGGCTATATTTTGTTCTATGGACACTTTGATCTGGTACCTCCCTGAGTTGCAGTTTTTAAAATGAGTGAAGCCTATCACAAGGGAGTCTAGGACAGAGAGAACAATAGAGCATCCAAATCTGTTATTGTTTCATATTATCTTCAGATTTTATGGGTCAAAATGTTCTTTTTGAATAGAGAACTCAGAATTTGCCACATATATTAAACCCCACTAAGAGCACAAATAGTAACAAATTAAAATTTTTTCTTATTTGATTGTATTTTCAGCTTAGTATTGCCCAATATGCTGTCTTTAAATATAAAATCCCCATGGAATTTTTATTAATTAATCCTTGGTTGATGCCTGGATTCCTGATTGGGACCAAATAGGACCCTGGTAGGGTCCTATCCCTACCCTTCATTGTTCATTTAGCATGTACTAATTCAACTAAAGCTGAGTGCTGAAGAATTGATGCTTTTGAACTGTGGTGTTGGAGAAGACTCTTGAGAGTCCCTTAGACTGCAAGGAGATCCAACCAGTCCATCCTAAAGGAGATCAGTCCTGAAGATCCATTGGAAGGACTGATGCTGAAGCTGAAACTCCAATATTTTGGCCACCTGATGTGAAGAACTGACTCACTAAAACAGACCCTGATGCTGGGAAAGATTGAAAGCAGGAGGAGAAGGGGATGACAGAGGAAGAGATGGTTGGATGGCATCACCAACATAATGGACATGAGTTTGAGTAGGCTCCGGGTGTTGGTTTTGGACAGGGAAGCCTGGTGTGCTGCAGTCCATGGGGGTCACAAAGAGTAGGACATGACTGAGCAACAGAACTGAACTGAACTGAATTCAACTAACAACTATATCATCATCTTTTGTGTATCTAAAATTACCTATTGGGATTTCCCTGGTGGTCCAGTAGTTAAGACTCCATACTTCCAACGCAAGGGGTATGGGTTCAATCCCTAGTCAGGGAACAAGATCCCACATGCCAAGTGATGTGGCAAAAAATAAAATAACCTATCACTTAATTCATTAAACTCATCTTTTTCTGTAGATTCTTAAACATGTTCATAATAGTTACAGTGTTTATCTGCCAATTCCTCTTCGTGTGGGTGTTTCTTTTGATTGTGTTTGTCCTTGACTGTGAGAGAGATTCTTTTCTGCTTCTTCCTATCTAGGAATTTTGATTATACATTGTAGAAAGTCTAAGTTCTATTACTATATTTCTCTAAAGATTAGTGAATTTGTTTCAGCAGCTAGATTACTGGCAAGTCATTTGGACCCTGTTGGGTCACGATATTCTTTGTAAAGGTGTATTTACCTTCATTGTACCCTTCAACTTGGGAGTAACTCTTTAACTTAGAACATAATCCTTGATCCTATAGCAAGTCCTTTTACAAATTTAAATAAAAAGTTCAAAGTATTTATTTAAAGTGTTGATGAAACTCATCTAACTGGGAAGAAGCTTAAACTCCAAACTCTGTCCCCTTGGGTCTTGCCAGTACCACTGCTAAAATACCAGCTCAGCGTTCTTAGAATGCCAGTTCTTCTCTGAGTTTCCAGTGAGCTCTTTACAGTCATACCTACATGTACAGAGTTAGACTCAGCCAAGTATTCTAAAGCTTGCACATTTGGGTCTCCCTATGCTGTGGCTTGCTCTTCCAATATTTCTTTCTCTGTATCCTTGTATTTTGGCAGCCCCAAATTCTAACCTTAGATTTCCCAGCTCAAGATTGTCGCTCTTTGCTTGAGCTCTGTGTTTCAAGTTTCTTATTTACTAGGGAGTCGCTTCATGGGAGTATGTGGATAAATCTAGTTTTACCTATTATGCTAACTTGTTTCCAGAATTTGATTTATTCTTGTTTCTGCCTCCTTTTCTTTTTCTTCCAATGCCTTCAAACAGTTGTTCTCATTGTTAACTTAAGGAAAGGTAAAATGCTGTTAAGTTACTTCGCTATCATCAAAAGTTAGGCCTGTACACACTGTTTTATATCTTACTCTTTAAAGAGTTTCACGTATTTTTCAGTTTATTAAAGCATTTTTTATAAATATCTCTAATGACTGAAGAAGGCCCCAGTGTGTATGTGAATAAATATATTATCATTTACTTGGATATTCTATTACAAGGAGTCATATATTTGGATGTTAGAGGGCTATAGCAAACACTTTTCTGCATAAAGCATTTGTGAAAACTTCTAGTTGTTTAGGAGAGATTTCCAGAGCTGAGACTAGTATAGATTAATAAGCCTTCTTTGAATTATTTTCCACTTTTAAAAATAATCAATTGGTAAATTTATGTATAATAAATTATAATAAATAAATAAAATAAAAATAATAAAGTGTAATAAATATATTATTAATGGATTTCTGGGCTTCTAGGTTGGTGTTATTAGCAATGGATTCTTTTAACAACTTGATACAACACAACTTCTCAGAGGCATATCACAAATATGAAGTCAAAGTTTTTAGTTACTTTTTAAAAAATTCAAATAAACTTTTATTTCTTGCATATATTAACATATACTGGATCTCCTGAATATATTACCAAACTGAAATGGAATGAAACAATGTTGTTTTCTTTTTTCCACAAAAATAATTCATTATTGTAGAACAACATATTGGGCTTTCTTGTGGTATGTCTTTAATTTCCTACTTTTAAACTTAGAAACATAGTCTATTTGAGTGTGAACCAAGATAGGGTCACTATTTATAAAAATGATGACAAAAATCTATATTTCTGGTTCTGGTCTCTCTTCTTACAAATTTACTTCATTTGCATCTTGTCTGAAGTATGATAATCAAAAGATATTTGATCATTTGAATGATCATATGAAATGATGTCATTTCTCAAATAATTATTTCCATTTCTTTGACTTAATATAGTCATTGTCAAGTGATATCTTCTAGCTAATCAAAATATTGTTTTTTTCTTTAAGCAAAAAGAAGATAATATCCGTTGCTTAAATGTGCTTGGCCATTTTGGTTTCGATTGTTTGGCTCATCAGCTGGTGGACAAATGTGTTCAACAAGGATTCTTTTTTAATATTCTCTGTGTGGGTAAGTGCCAAACCCCTCCCATGAATTATTTCTTAATTGTTCATTTCAACTTATTTTAAGCAGCATAACACTGGGACTGTTACTTTAAGACTGGGTCTTTGTGTTTGTATTGGTTCGCATCTTCTTAGCTGTGTGTTACTTTGACATTTTTTCTTTAAGTGTTTCAGAGCTCTTCAAAATCTGATACACCTTTCTGTATATTATCTTTCCATATTTTGTTAATGATGGATGGAGTCAGAAGTATCATATGTATTTCAAGGACATTCCAGTCTTTGAAATATTTGGGACCCTTTGTAAACCATTCTAGGGAGGGGACAGGGTGTTACTTCACAGCTATCTTATGCCCCTATGATGTGTCTGTTTCCCTACAGGGGAAACTGGGATTGGAAAATCAACCTTGATTGACACACTGTTCAATACTAATTTGAAAGACAAAAAATCTTCGCATTTTTACTCAAGTGTTGGACTTAAAATTCAGACATATGAACTCCAGGAAAACAATGTTCAGTTGAAATTAACTGTTGTGAAAACGGTGGGCTATGGTGATCAAATAAACAAGGAAGCCAGGTGAGTGTTTTCTTAATTTGAAAAGTTACTGTTATTTCAAGGAATTTGCTTTTTTTCTCCATATGTTAAAAAGTAATGTTCTTCTAGAATATATCTAAAATTTAATCACTTCGCTGTACAGCAGAAATTAGCACAACACTGTAAATCAACTATACTTCACTTAAAAAATAGTAAAGTGGGTCTATTGTAGATGGCATGTAGTTGAATTTTTTCTTGAATCCATTCAGCCACTCTTTGTCTTTTGATTGGGGAGTTTACTCCTTTCAAATGGGCTTTCCTGGTAGCTCTGCTGGTAAAGAATCCGCCTATAATACAAAAGACCTCGGTTTGATTCCTGGGTTGGGTAGATTCCCTGGAGAAGGGAAAGGCACCCCACTCCAGTATTCTGGCCTGGAGAATTCAGGGTTGCAAAGAGTCAGATGTGACTTTCACTTTTCACTCTTTTCAGATAATTATATATAATATATACTCTATAGCATATAGTGATACATATGAGTAATTATTCACAAGGAATGACTATTATTATTTTGCTATATGTTTTCTGTCTATCTTGTAGTTCCCTTGTTCCTCATTTCCTCTTTTTAGTTTCTTTGTATTTTGTTGATCTTTGTAGTGATGTGTTTTCTTTCTCTTTTTCTTTTATGTATCTTTTATAGGTATTTTCTTTGTGGTTACCATGAGGCTTATGTAAAGCATTTTATAAGTTTATTTTAAGCTTATAACAACTTCAATCACATGCACAATTTTACAGTTTTACCTGTTCATCACTTTTGATATCAAACTTCATATTTTTATGTTGTTCATCCATTCGAAGATTTTTGTATTTATAGTTATTTATACTTTTTTACTTCTATGGTACAGGTAAAAATGATTAACTTACCTTTTTCATTGTAGTGTTACAATATTCTCTATTTGTCTATATTTACCTTTATTTACCTTTACCATTGAGTTTTATACTCCTGTTTGCTTTCGTGTTACTATGAGTCCACTTGTTTCAACTTGAATAACTCCCTTTAGCATTTCTTTTCAGGTAGATCTAGTGGCATTTCTTTTAAGGCAAATTTAGTGGTGATGAACTTCCTCAGTATTTATTTGTCTGGGAAGTATTTTTTTTTCTTTCATGTCTAAAAGGCAGTTGGTAGGTTTTTTCTTTTTATCACTTTGACTATATTATCCTGTTCTCTTCTAGCCTGCAAATTTTATGCTGAGAAATTGGCTCATGGTCTTATGGGGGCTCCCTTATATGTGATGAGTTGCTTTTCTGTTGCTGCTTGCAAACTTTACTTTTTGTCCTTGACTTTTTAAAAAGAAATTTTATTGGAGTACAGTTGTGCTACAATGATGCATTTTTGTCTATTGTGCAGCAAAGTCAATCAGCCATACACATACACGTGCTGTGTGCGCATTTGCTCAGACATGTCTGACTCTTTCTGACCCATGGACTGCAGCCCACCAGCTTCCTCTGTTCGTGGAATTTTCCAGGCAAGAATACTGGAATGGGTTGCCATTTCCTACTCCGACACATACATACAACCCCTCTTTTTTGTATTTCCTTCCTCTTTAGGTCACCACAGAGCGCTGAGTAGGGTTCCCTGTGCTGTACAGTAGATTCTCATTAGTTATCCATTTTATACAGAGTAGTATGTCTGTGTCAATCTCCCAGCTCATCCCACCCCTCCATTTCCCCCCTTGGTGTCCATATGTTCTCTACGTCTGTGTCTCTATCTCTGATTTGCAAATAAATTCATCTGTACCATTTTTCTAGATTCCACATATATGCATTAATATACAATATTTGTTTTTCTCTTGCTGACTTACTTCACTGTATGTCTCTAGGTCCATCCACACCTCTGCAAATGGCACAATTTGTTTCTTTTTATGGTTGAGTAATATTCCATTATATATATATGCCACACCTTCTATATGCATTCCTCTGTTGATGGTCATTTAGGTTGCTTCCACATCTTGGCTATTGTAAATAGTGCTGCAGTGAACACTGGGGTGCATGTATCTTTTGGAATTATGATTTTCCTGGGTATACGCCCAGGAGTAGGATTGCTGGGTCATATGGTAGTTCTATTTTTAGATTTTTAAAGGAACCTCTGTACTATTCTTCATACTGGCTGTATCAATTTACATTCCCTCCAACAGTGTAAGAGGATTCCCTTTCCTCCACACCCTATCCAGCATTCATTGCTTGTAGATTTTTTGATGATGGCCATTCTGACCAGTGTAAGGTGCTACCTCATTGATTTGCATTTCTCTAATAATTAGTGATACCGAGCATCTTTTCTTGTGTTTTTGGTCATCTGTATGTCTTCTTTGGAGAAATGTCTACTTAGTTCTTCTACCCATTTTTTGATTGGGTTGTTTGTTGTTTTGATATTGAGCTACATGAGCTGTTTGCATATTTTGGAGATTGATTCTTTGTCAATTGCTTCACTTGCAAATATTTTCTCTCATTCTGAGAGTTGTCTTTTTCTGTCTTGTTTATGGTTTCCTAGACTGTGCAAAAGTTTTTAAGTTTAATTAGGTCCTCTTTGTTTATTTTTGTGTTTATTTTCATTACTTTAGGAGATGGGTCTAAAAAGATCTTGCTGCGATTTCTGTCAGAGTGTTCTGCCTGTGTTTTCCTCTGAGAGTTTTATAGGGTCTGGCTTACATATAAGAATGCATTGAGCTGTATATCCACCTCCTCAGCTGGGACCTAGAACAGTTGTACCACATCCAAAAATTCTCTTGTGCTTTAGTCAATTTATCCTTGTGCTGATACCATGCTATATTAATTATTTTAGCTTCACAGTAAGTCCTAATATAGGAAGAATATATTTTCTTCATTTTTTTTCAGTATGTCTTGAGTGTTCTTGGTTCTTTGCACTTATATATATATACATATACATACAAAAAACTTGGATTCTACTTGAGACTGCATTGAACTGAGAGAGCATTTTGCCTTTTCTGTAAACAGTGGGTCCTTAAAAAAAACTATTCATGTTGACTGTGCTGGATCTCCCTTGCTGCTCACAGGCTTTCACTCATTGTAGCAAGTGGGGGCTACTCTTCCTTGTGGTTCACAGGCTTGAGGTGGTGGCTTCTCTTGTGGTGGAACGTGGGCTCTAGGCGTGTGGGCTCAGTAATCACGGCACTCAGACTCAATAGTTGCAGAACACCGGCCCTAGAGTGTGGGCTCAGCAGTACACTGCACAAGTTTAGCTAACCCTCAGCACGTGGAATCTTTCTGGACCAGGGATCTAACCCATGTCTCCTGAATTGGCAAGCAGATTCTTAACCACTGTACCACCAGGAAAGTCCAATGATGGGCCTTTTTATTGGTTTATAATTGTTATCTTTGTAAGGACATGTTATGAACATTTTAATTGCTGGGGCAAGCTAGTGAGTGCACATATTCACTATATAGTAAATGATAAAATCACAGACATCAGATGATATTAATCTGTTATGTTAAATGTTTGAATAATCTTTTTTTTTTCAGCTACCAGCCAATTGTTGACTACCTAGATGCTCAATTTGAGTCCTATCTTCAAGAAGAATTGAAAATTAAACGTTCCTTAGGTGACCACCTTGATTCCCGCGTCCATGTGTGCCTTTACTTCATTTCGCCTACAGGACATTCTCTGAAGTCTCTTGATATATTAACCATGAAGAACATTGACAGCAAGGTGCGTTTGGTAAATCTGTCAGCCTGTCAAGATTTGATACTTATTTTGAAAAAATAAAAATCTTGAAATTTCCTAGTGGTCCAGTAGTTAAGTATCCATCTGTGGGTGCAGAGGACATGGGTTTGATTTCTAGTCCGGGAAGATCCCATATAACTCGGGGCAACTAAGCCCATGTGCCACAACTACTGAACCTAAGAAACAGTGCAAATCTTGAAAGCATTTACACACAAGAACTTGGCTTCCCTGGTGGCTCAGATGATAAAGAGTCTGCCTGCAGTGAGGAAGACCAGGTTTGCTTCCTGGGTTGGGAAGATCCCGTGGAGAAGGAAATGGCAACCCACTCCAGTATCCTTGCCTGGAAAATTCCATGGACGGAGGAGTCTAGCAGGCTACAGTCCGTGGGATCACAAAGAGTCAGACACGACTGAGTGACTTTACATATATATCATTTTTTCTGTTAATCTTTAAAGCATTTGTGTTAGTTTTCTAGAGATACCATTACAAAATGCTGCTTAGTGATTTAACAATAGAAAGTGCTTTAAAATAGACATTTTTTTTCTTACAGTTCTGGAAAGTGTCACCAAGTTTTGTTTTTTCTGAAACCTCTCAATTCAGGAAGTAGATGGCCACTTTCTCACTGTCACCTCACATGATCTTTTGTTTGTACGCACATGTGATGTCTCTGTGTGTCCAAGTTTCCCATTTTTATGAAGACACTGGTGGAACTAGATTAACGCTATTTCAATGGCCTTAGATGGTGCAAATGAATGATAAGTAGAAGGACAAAGTTGATCTATTCTACAATGCTGATGAGAAATCTCTTCTGACATTTTAATACTCAACTGAATAAGAAATCAAATTGACCATACTTCATTTTGCTACTTACATTTTACCGAACCCAGATGCATTGGAAGCTAAGAAAATTTGAGAAGAGAAAAACCTGAGCCTTCTAAACCTGGTTTCTGATTAAAGTTTAATCTTCAAAAATACTGATGATTTTGGAAAGCAATTTTCTGAAGTAGTCATGAAAGCTAGAGATTATTTGGTTACGAAAATGTGTTGTCAGATATTGTGAGGTTTTGACTGTAAAAATGACATTTAATAATTAATTCTCAATGGTGAGTTTTTCTTTGCTTCTTTCTTAATAGGTGAACATTATACCAGTGATTGCCAAAGCAGATGCAATTTCTAAAAATGATTTACAGACATTTAAGTGTGAGATAATGAATGAATTGATTAGTAATGGCATCCAGATATATCAGTTCCCAACAGATGATGAAACTACCACTCACACGAACTCCTCAATGAATGTAAGCCTCTAACTATTGAGTCTCAATTCTATTTGACAGGGGGAATGAAAATATAATTTATAAGTAACCTTATTAGTAATACAGAAAAAATTGGAAAACACCCTGATGCTGGGAAAGATTGAGGGCAGGAGAAGGGGGCGACAGAGGATGAGATGATTGGATGGCATCACTGACTCAATGGACATGAGTTTGAGCAAACTCCAGGAGATAATGAAGGGAAGCCTAGCGTGCTGCAGTCCATGGGGTCCCAAAGAGTAGGACATGACTTAGCCACTGAACAACTATGTTAGTAATATAGTGTCACTTGTATCTGACAAAGAGACTATAAATAAGGTATTTTTCCCCAAAATCCAGTGTGGGAAAATGTTTTTTTTTCTTGATTTTGAAAAATATTTCCTGGGAATCAATTATTTTAGGAAGCATTTTATTCTTTTAAAAATCCTTTTAGAAAGGTATAGTTCACATACCGAATGACTCACCCATGAAAGTATACAATTTAATGATTTTTAGTCTGTTCACAACCACCTCCACAGCCAAATTGAGGACATTTTTATTATATAATAGAAACAGAAATATTATCTCAAAAAGAAACCCCATACTCTTTAGCTTTTCTCCCCTACCGCCTGTCAGCCTTCCTCTCCACCAGCCCTAGGAAACCACTAATCAACATCTTTCTCTTTAGATTCCTCTGTTCTGGATATCATATGAATGGAATTACATAGTATTTGGTCTTTTCATGTTTTAATTGGCTATCAGTATGTCTTCCCAGGGGAAAAATTTACTCAGATCATTTGTGCATTTTTAATTGAGCTTTTTAAAAAAAAATTAATATTATTGAGTTGTTAGAGTTCTTTATGTATTCTAGATACCAGGTGCTTATGAGATACATGATTTGCAATTATTTTCTCCTAATCTATTAGTCATTTTTTCATTTTATTTCTGGTGTCCTTTGAAACATAAGCTTTTAAAAAATATTGATGAAGTCCAATTTATTTATTTTTGTTGTTACTTGTGCTTTTGATGTCATATCTAAGAATGTTTTGTCAAATCCAAGGTAATAAAGATTTTCTTATGTTTCCTTCTAAGAGGTTCTAAAATTGTGGTAAAATATACATAGAATGAAGTTTACCATCTTAAACTTTTAATCTTTTTTATTTAAAAAATTTTTTAAATGTTTTTGATGTGGAGTATTTAAAAAGTTTTTACTGAATTTGTTACAGTTTTATGAAGTCATTACTGAATTTGTTACTGTTCAGTTTTATGTTTTTATTTTTTTGGCTGCGAGGCATGTGGGATCTTAGCTCCCTGACCTGGGATCAAACTTGCAACCCCTGCATTCGAAGGCAGAGTCTTAACCACTGGAATGCCAGGGAAGTCCCCAACTTAAATCTTTTGAAGTTCACAGTTGAGTGACATTATCTGTTCATAGTGTTGTGCTAATATCATTGCCACCAACTATATCCACAGAACTTTTTTCATCTTGAAAAACTGAAGCTCTGCAATAAATAATAATTTCCTGTTATTCCTTCCATCAACTTTATGAATTTGACTACTCAAAGTACTTCTAGTAGATAGAATTAAATAATATTTGTCCTTTCCTACCTATACAAATATTTCTTTGAGTCTCTGCTTTCAGTTCTCTTGGGCCAATTCTTATATGTGCCAAGAAGTGGAGTTGCTGGGTTGTATGATAATTGTAGGTTAAATTTCTTGAGGAACCGCCATACTTTTTTCCATAGTGGCTTCACTATTTTTGCATTCCCACAAAAAGTGCACAACGTTTCCAATTTATCCACATTTATACCAACACTTGTTATTTTCTATTTTTTTTTAAAATGGTAGCTTATCTTAATGGATATGAGTTACTATCGCACTGTGGGGTTTGTGTGTGTGTATATAGTCATTTTTATTATAGTTCATGAGTACATTAGAAACTGACATGGATTTCTTTATGAAGACATGTAGATTGTTGTGGGCAGCTGCTTTCCACTTTTACTTGAGAATGGTAAAGAAGCCAATATCAGTGTCATTACATCAAGTTTTCACCTGATAGGAAACCTGAACAGGTCTCTTGGGTCTGCTAGGTCACTGTTATATTGTCTCCAGACCTCCCCGCACCCAAGTGTGTCTGGAATTCCCTACACATTTCAAAAGGCACCTGGGCAACAGAACACTATTACCCTGCTTGTTTTTAAGGTGCAATTCCTGGGTTAAATATTGTGCATATATATCTCCAAATTGCCCGGGCTTATCTTCCAAATAAGGCATTACTCATTTTACTGATCTCCCTGCCAAACAAAGGACCCCAAAGCATTCTGTTAATCTCAAAGAAGTCAGGTGAGGCTCTTCTCTCCTCAAATCAAGTTATTTGAAATCCCAAATGAAATGCTAGTGCCAGAGGGCAAAACAGTAGCCTTTCCTGAAAAGCTGCATTGTGATTTTTTTAAAAAAATTATTTATATATTTATTTGTTGGCCGTGCTGGATCTTCATGTTGCAGCACACGGGCTCTGGGTGCGTAGGTTTAGTAGTTGTGGCACAAGCGGCTTTGTTGCTCTGAGGCATGTGGGCTCTTCCCTGACCAGGAATCAACCCATATCCCTTGCACTGGCAGGAAGATTCTTTACCACTGGACCACCAGGGAAGACCTGCCCTTTTTAAAAAATGGGTTGTTTGCTTTGATATTGTGTTGTATGAGCTGTTCATATATTTTAGGTGTTAACTCCTTAGTAGATATGTCATTTCCAAATATTTTCTTCCATTCCATAGGTTGTCTTTTCATTTTTTGACAGTTTCTTTTGCTGTGCAAAAGGTTTTGAGTTAAATTAGGTCCCATTTGTTTAGTTTTGCTTTTGTATCCTTTGCCTGAGAAGAAAGATCTAAAAAATATTGTGACCACTTATGTCAGTGTTCTGCCTAGAGTTTTCTTTTAGGAGTTTCATGGCTTCTGGTCTTAAATTTAGGTCTTTAATTCACTTTGTATTATCTTTGTATATCTCATGAGAAAAGTTCAAATTTCATTCCTTTACATATTGACTGTGTAGTTGTCATGTATTTATCCCAGCACCACTTGTTGAAGAGATTGTCTTTTCACATCGTATATTTTTCCCTCCTTTGTCATAGATTAATTGGCCATATGTGTGTAATTTTATTTCTGAGTTCTCTGTTCTGTTCCACTGATCTGTGTCTGTGCTAGTACCATACTATTTTGATACTGCAGTTTTATAGTATAGTTTGAAGTCAAAGAGTGTGATACTTACAGTTTTGTTCTTTTTTCCTCAAGATTGCTTTGGCTATCTGAGCTCTTTTGCAATACCATACAATTTTTTTTATGTATTATGTAACTAATTCCATTAGTTCTGTGGAAAATGTCATGTGTATTTTGATAGGGATTACATTAAATCTGTAGATTACTCTGAGTAGTATGAACATTTTAACATTATTAATTCTTCCAATCCATGAACATGTTATATTTTTTCACTAATTTGTGTCATCTTCACATTCTTTCATCAGTGTCTGATATTTTTCAGAATTTTGGTCTTTCACCTCCTCTTTTAAGCCAATTTCTAGGTATTTTATTCATTTTGATGCAATTTTAAATGGATTGTTTCCTTGATTTCTCTTTTTGATAGTTCATTATTAGTAAATAGAAAAACAGCATGTAGAAATTTGTATGTTAACCTTTATTCTTCAACTTTATTGAATTCATTTATTATTTGTAGTAATTTTTTGGCAGAGACTTAAAGTTTTCTATATATAGTATCATATCATCTGCAAATAATGACAGTTTTACTTTTTCCCTTCCAACTTGGATACCTTTTATTTATTTTTGTTGTCTGACTGCTGTGGCTAAGACTTCTAATATTATGTTAAATAGAAGTGGGATCTCACAAATGCTTACAGGAATTAATCTGCACACATTTAATGCTAAGTCATAAAATCTGAGGCAGGATAAATCACTTGTTTGAATAAACTTATTATGTATTCTTGTCTCTTTTATTTCCATAACAGGAATAAGAGTAACAGAGTAAGTTATATTGGTATAAGAAAATATGATGAAATTCATTCTTACTCTCTAGGGCCTCTTACCTTTTGCTGTAGTAGGAAGTACGGATGAAGTGAAAGTTGGAAAAAGGACAGTCAGAGGACGTCAGTACCCCTGGGGAATTTTACAAGGTAAATATAACAAACCTCCATGAGAAGGCTTGCTCTGGAGTGATTATACTTAAATATATATAATTATAAAATTATGTAAACTATAACTATAAATATATAAAACAAAATATTTTAACGAGTCAATATTGGTAACTCTCATTAAACAGCAAATTAACAGTTACTGATGAGCACAGATTCTGTTTCATTTGAGATCGTGATTATTTTGACTATAATTTATTCTCGTGGGAATTTTCTGGAATATTTTTGTACTTCAGGCAAAAATTCAGAAACTGAGCAGAACCTTCTCATTTATCCCAGTCTGCCATATGCAGATTATCTCTGTGGTGCTAAACCATCGTATTCAGAATGCTGAAAAGTTCTTTGAACAAAAGAACTTTGAACAACATGGAAGCATAAATATTGGTACTTGAAACATATTATATAAGTTAATTGCTACCCAATTTATAAAGCACTATTAAGTGGTTACTAGTAAAAGGGAATTCCGTGGATGGAGGAGCCTGGTTGGCTGCAGTCCATGGGGTCGCTAAAAGTCAGACAGGACTAAGCGACTTCACTTTCACTTTTCACTTTCACTCATTGGAGAAGGAAATGGCAACCCACTCCAGTGTTCTTGCCTGGAGAATCCCAGAGACGGGGGAGCCTGGTGGGCTGACGTCTGTGGGGTCACACAGAGTCGGACACGACTGAAGTGACTCAGCAGCAGCAGCAGCAGTAAAAGGGATGGTAAACTATTTCAAAAATAAAGTAATATCATTTTTTGGATAAATTATACCTAGACATTTATATTAGTTATCTAGCATGATGAATTAGAATATTGTCATAACAGTCATTTATTGTCTGATTCATATACTTGTGATAATAATTATTGGGGGCTGGATTATCACTATCTGTAGAGATAATGTTCCAAATGTTATTTTCAATTAATATGTTATAAATTTTTAAATTTATTAAATGTACTTAAAGACAACATATTTTAATGAATATTATATTTGGTTACAATATCATACCCACTACCCAAAATACTGTTACCAGTCTTTTGGATATGACAGGCACAAGAAGCCATGTGAATTTATTGAGTGATTTTGAAAAGTGACTAATTTATTCTCATACATATAGTGTAGAAATATAATTTAACAACTACATCATGTATAATTGTTAAGGCCTTTACATTAGCAAGATTTAATTAAATTATTTAGTTTCGTGAAGTTATCTTATTTAAAAGAAGATAATTTATAGTTTATTTATAGACCAGGAAACTTACTTTAAATTTATTAGCCAGAGACTAAATAGGAAACAGTGAAATAATATGTTACATTATATTGGTATATAGCATCAGTTCATCAGTTCATCAGTTTACTGCTCTGTAAAATACCCTGAGAATGTTCATTTGAAAAATACTAAATTATTAAAGAAAACTTATGCTATATAAGTTTCAAAACCACAAAATTAAAAGACTCTTGCTCCTTGGAAGAAAAGCTGTAACCAACCTAGACAGCATATTAAAAAGCAGAGACATCACTTTGCCAACAGAAGTCCATATAGTCAAAGCTATCTTTTTTCCAGTAGTCATGTATGGATGTGAGAGTTGGGCCATAAAGAAGGCTGAGTGCCTAAGAATTGATGCTTTCAAATTGTGGTGTTGGAGAGGACTCCCAAGAGTTCCTTGGACTACAAGGAGATCAAATCACTCAATTCATGTACTGAATTTCTATATTCAGGAAATCAGTCCTGAATATTCATTGGAAGGACTGATGCTGAAGCTGAAGTTCCAATATTTTGGCTACCTGATTAGAAGAGCCAACTCATTGAGAAGAGTCTTTTCCTCACTGGAAAAGATCCTGATGTTGGGAAAGATTGAAAGCAGGAAGACAGGGGACAGCAGAGGATGAGATGGTTGTATGGCATCACTGATTCAATGGACATGAGTTTGAGCAAGTTCTGGGAGACGGTGAAGGACAGGGAGGTCTGGTATGCTGCAATCCATGGGGTGGCAAAGAGTCAGACACAACTGAGCAACTAAACTGAACTGATGCTATATACTAATATAATGTAACATATTATTTCACTGTTTCCTATTTAGTCTCTGGCTAATAAGTTTAAAGCAAATTTCCTGGTCTATAAATAAACTATACCTATAATTGACATATACCATATAAGCATAGTTACATGGTTAAAAGACTTATAGCTATTATTCAGAATGCTCTAAGCTCATTCAAGAATACTTTCTGAGTGATAGGGATTGATAACAAACTTTGCGGCTTTATTATTTTTCTGCCTAGTGGAAAACGAAAACCACTGTGACTTTGTTAAGCTCCGGGATATGCTTCTTTGTACAAATATGGAAGACTTGAAAGAACAGACTCATACTCGGCACTATGAACGTTACAGGCGCAACAGACTTCACATAATGGGATTTACTGATATGGGTCCAAACAACCAGCCAGTTAGGTGAGTGGAGATCTCACTCGAAGAAGGTGATAGGTGACTTGGAAATCCCCTACAACTGTGAGATATGATTATTTTGGAATGAGAATAGCTCTGCTTCTCATATTCTGGGCCATCTGAATCTTGTGGTTTTTCATTATCTTCAGACCTCGATGGAGGCTTAGTAGGAGCAACATAATGCAAAGGCTCATTTATATGCCTCCAGTATGTACATGTCTCTGGAGGAGGGCATGGCAACCCACTCCAGTATTCTTGCCTGGAGAGTCCCATGGACGGAGGAGCCCAGAGGATTACAGTCCATGGGATTGCAAAGAGTCGGACATGACTGAGCGACTAAGCACACACAATATGTACTTGTGCTGAAACCCTCCATGTCAATCCCAAAGAGAGAAGTTTTTATAGGCAAAATTTGGGAGGGAGGGCTGCAGGGTATGTAACCCTCCCCTTATCAGTTGGTGGTGAGGTAACAAGATGGTGTTCAATCATCAGCCTTCTGGTTTCAGCCAGTCTGGGGTCCACATGCTTGTGCTCAGCCTGACGTTGTCATCCTCCACCTGGATACAATATATATTTTTATATGTTTATTTATATTAACGTTTTAATATAAGAGCACACACATTTCTTTTTAGTTTTCAAGAGATCTATGAAGCCAAAAGGCAGGAGCTCTTGGAGCAATGTCAGAGCGAAGAAGAAGAGTTGAAACAGAAGTTTATGCAGCGAGTAAAGGAGAAAGAAACAGCATTTAAAGAAGCTGAAAAAGAGGCAAGTCCTGCTAGTTGATATAATCCATATTCAAGTTTAAGTGTCCTATTAAATTGGAGGTTTTCATCTCAAGAGTTTAGATGATTTTGTTGAAGGATACTTTCTATTCTTCAAAAAGTAGTTATTTACCATGTAAGTTCTGGATTCAAACTTTAAAAAAATGATTGCCTGTAATCTTATTTTTTCCTAGAGCATTTGGAGAATCAGCTTTTTTGAATTTTTTTTAACTGAAGTATTAAATTGACTTACAATATTGTATCAGTTTTGAGTACACAACATTGAGTCAATATTTTTATATATTAAATACCTTCTGTCAATGAGGAGGGCATGGCATCCCACTCAATATTCTTGCCTGGAGAATCCCATGGACAGAGGAGCCTGGCAGGCTACAGTTCAGAGGGATGCACAGAGTTAGACACAACTGAAGTGACTTAGCATGCACGTATGCACCATCTGTCAGCACAGAAAATTATTAAAATATTATTCACTATATTCTGTATGCTGTACATTACATCCTCATGACTTATTATTTTATAATTGGAAGTTTGTATCCTTTAATCTTCTTCACCTATTTCATTCATCCCTCCATTTTGTTCTCTGTATCTATGAGTGTGTTTCTGCTTCATTAGGTTTATTCATTTGAATTGTTTTTAGATTCCCTGTATAAGTAAAATCATGTGGTATTTATCTTTCTCTTTCTTATTATCTACCTCTGACTTATTTTACTTAGCATAATACCCTCCAGGTCCTTTCATGTTGTCTCAAAAGGCAAGGTTTTTTTTTTTAAAACGGGTAATGTTCCATTGTATGCATGTATGTATATACATATAGCACATCTTTAAGTAAAAAGTTTTCTCAATGATCTTGCTATCATTTATAAATACTACAATCTCACATCCCCAGCCTTTCCAATCATTCTTCTTGCCCTTGTATGTAGATGCTCATTTGCCCTCAGGTCTGAAAATGTATTTACCAGCGATATGACTCCAGCAGAGATACTTTTTGAGACTACTGTTAAGATCAAGTGCTATTCTAATGATTAGGGTAGGTTTGATAATCAGAAGGAAAGAAACCTGTTCCTGGGGGTGTGCCCCCATAGGGTGCTTTGAGTCACAACTGCGGGTTTGTTTTACAGCTACAGGACAAGTTTGAACATCTTAAGAAGATCCAGCAAGAGGAGACAATGAGACTTGAGGAGGAGAGGCGACAACTGGAAGAAGAAATCCTAGCATTTTATAAAATGAAGGCCTCCTCTGGAACCTTGCAGGGTCAGGTGTGCACCAGTATAAAGAAGGACAAAGAGCGTAAGAAATAATCCTTTACCGTACTGTGTGTTGTAGAGCCCTTTCACTCTCTCTCTCATCTTCCTGGGAGGTTTTCCTCATAGCACTTAATTCTGATTGAAATTATGCTAAGTTTTAAAATTTGTTTACTTGCTGTGTATTTTCTTCTGCTAGAAGGTGAGCTCCTTGAGAGCACGTACCTTGATCATTTTGTTAGATGCTCTATCATCAGGGTTTAGAACAAGAGTGGCACAGAATTTGCGCTCAATAAATATTTGCTAAAATGAAAGAAGGTCAAAGATTTATGCACCACAGTGTAAAAGTGTTGATTAGCTGTGGAAATTCTTTTACCATAGCCCTACCTATGACTCTGATGACCAAGTATATGTATTATATCATATCTAAATAGAAGTAGGGGGTTTGTTGGCATGCAGTATTGCAAAAAGCTAATCCTTATGCTCATGTTCCTTATAAAATTCTACTGACAATAATTTCTTGGTAGTTTTTATTAAGTAAAATGCGGTTTCTGATTGTAACTCTTATACTTTTATGTTAGACCTTGTAAAACTAATATTGGAATAAAACTTCAGAAGTGAAAGAGGGTAGAGAAAAATGGGAAACCATGAGTAACATTTGGATGATAATATTATGCCTTACATACTAACATTTACTTAAAACTAAAGTTACCAAGGTTTTAGAAAATAAAGTAGATTTTTTAAAACTATTTCAAAAGTTTCCTTCCGACTATATATCCTGAATTTTCTGCATGTACAATGTCAGTTCACCTGTTTGTGTGGCTGAACTTTACCATGACTTATTCAGCAAAAGTACTACCCTTGAGGGTCTGTGTATATTTACTCTGAAATTTTTCTCATGTTCCTGAAAGAATAAAAAAAATTTTCTGTTGTAATTTTTTTTTTTACTGCTTTCATTTCAAAGGCAGCATTTTTTTCAGGGCATCAGGATATTGTGATTTAGGTTAGAAAGGTAAAACCTGAAATATTGAAAAAGTTGAGAAACAATGAAGAAAGAAATATCAATACGTCAAAGCAATGTAAAAAAAAAAAGCAATGTCAGAAAATAAAACATATCGTATCGTGTTGATTTAAGGTGCATGGGGTAAAGAAAAAGAAAAAAAAAAAAGACAACTGAAGACCTCAAAAATATCGGGCTTTTTGGATGCCAGTCTTGTTCTTGGCTATTTATGAGAACTTCTCCAGCCCCAAGGAAAACACTCCTGTCACTCATTGAAAGTGACAGTGCTGACAAGACTTTTCAGAGCCCCTTTTATGTCCTTGTTCCTTAGAGAGTAAATAAATGGATTCAGCATTGGCGTGACCACAGTGTACATCACAGAGGCTGTTGCACTGGTTCTGGAATTTTGGGTAGTGGCAGAGCTGAGGTACACCCCAAGACCTGTGCCATAAAATAAGCAAACAACTGAGAGATGAGACCCGCAGGTGGAGAATGCCTTGTACTTCCCTCCTGCTGATGTAATCCTCAGTACGGAGGAGACAATCCGAGAATAAGAAACAACAATACCAGAGAGGGGAATAATGCCCATGAGCACAGTGGCAAAATACATCTCTATGACATTGAGAAGATTGTCAGAACAGGCAAGTTGAATAACCTGATTGATTTCACAGAAGAAATGGGGGATCTCCAAGTCAGTGCAAAAGGACAGCCGCAACACCAGCAAACCACGTAGCAAAGAGTCCAGGACACTCAATATCCAAGATGCCAGCAATAGCAAGACACAGAGCTGGGGGTTCATCTTGGTTGTGTAGTGCAGTGGATGGCAGATAGCTACAAATCGGTCATAGGCCATTGCAGAAAGGAGGAAAATGTCCAGTTCTGCAAAAAGGATAAAAAAATACAGCTGAGTGAGGCAGCCTTCATAGGTGATGCCTTTGTTCTGGATATAGAGGTTCAGCAGCATCTTTGGGATGGTGGTAGAGGTGAAACAGATGTCTGAAAAAGATAGATTGGAGAGGAAGAAGTACATGGGTGTGTGGAGGTGGGAGTCATAGATGGTGGTCAGAATGATGAGCAGGTTTCCGGAAATCGTTATCAGGTACATGGAGAGGAAAAGCCAAAAGAGGAGAGGCTGCAACTCTGCCTCATCTGACAGTCCAAGGAGAAGAAATCCTGAAAACCGTGTGTGATTTTCCTGTTCCATACAGCTGGTGTGACTGTCTTGAAAGAGGCAATAAAAAAATACAAACAAGTAAATATTATCAACCAACTGAACTACCACTGATTATATTTTTTATATTATTTAAATACAGTTCATATTACAGTTTACACATAAAATAAATACATCCCTATATTTTGTTAATGGATCAGGGTTAGTATAGCCCAATTCAGAGGATAAAAAATGCAGCCAATCTCTTTCTGCCACTGTCCCCACTTCAGTATGCAAACTAGCCATTTGTCATATCCTATTCCTCAAAGCCAGCATTATTTCTGCCATTTCTCTGAGATAGAATTATGTAGCTCCTTGCCCTTCATTGTCACTCACAGACTCACAGCATTAGCATCATCTGGAAAGCTTGTTAGAAATGCAGAATTATATAAGAAAACTTAGGGATTTCCCTGGTAGACCAGTGGCTAAGACTCTGTGTTCTCAGGGCAGGAAGCCCAGGTTTGATCCCTAGTCAAGCAACTAGGTTCCATAACTAAGACCACATACTGCAACTAACATGGCCAAATAAATAAATTTCTTTTTTTTAAAAAGAAAACTTTTATGAAGCTCATGGCTAATTAGAATGCAGCCATGGTTCTAACCAGCTTGTTTGTCAATTCATTTGATCCTCATAGTGCTACGAGGTAGGCAAATTGCTACTTACTGGCTGCTTAAAGCAATAGTGGCCCAGCAGCAAAGAATCTGCCAGCGAAGCAAGAGACCCGGGTTCAACCCCTGAGTTGGGAAGAGCCCCCGGAGGAGGGCATGGCAACCCACTCCAGTATTCTTGCGGGGAGAATCCCATGGACAGAGGAGCCTGGTGGGCTACAGTCCGTGGGGTCGCAGAGTCAGACATGACTGAGGTGACTAACACAAAGCAACACCAGTGTATTTTCTTACAGTTCCAGAGTCTATACTTTTGAAGTCAGTTTCACTGAGTTAAAGTCAAGGTGTTGGCATGGTTGGCTCCTTCTGGAGGTGCTAGAGTGGAGTCTGTCTTTTCCAGTTTCTGGAGGCTGTCTGGATTCTTTGGTCCCTTTGTTCACATTACTCCAACCTCTTGTTTCCGTCACCTCATGGTCTTCTGTCTCTTTGATCTTCTGCCTCCTTTATAAGGAATGCTATGACTAAAATAAGGACTTCCCTGGTGGCTCAGATGGTAAAGCGTCTGCCTACAATGCGGGAGACACGGGTTCAATCCCTGGGTCAGGGAGATCCTCTGGAGAAGGAAATGGCAACCCACTCCAGTACTCTTGCCTGGAAAATCCCATGGATGGAGGAGTGAGTAGGCTATAGTTCATGGGATCCCAAAGAGTTGGACACGACTGAGCGACTTCCCTTCCCTTCATGATCAAAATAAGCCCACCCAGACAAGCCTGACCCTAACCCTCCCTCTTGGACCTCCCTCCCACTCCCCTTATCCCACCCCTCTAGGTCATCACAGAGAAGCCAGCTGAGCTTCCTGTGCTTTATACCAGGTTCCCACTAGCTATCTGTTTTACACATGATAGTGTATATATGTCAATCCTAATCTCCCAGGTCGTCCCACCCTCCCCTTCTGCCCCTGTGTTCACATGTCTGTTCTCTACATCTGTGTCTCTATTCCTGCCTTGGAAATAAATTCTTCTGTACCATTTTTCTAGATTTCACATATGTGCATTGATACACTATGTTTGTTTCTCTCTTTATCACTTACTTCATTCTGTATGAGATTCTAGGTCCATCCACGTCTCTACAGATGATCCTATTTCATTCTTTTTAGGGGCTAAGTAATATTTCGTTGTATGTATGTACCACATCTTCTTTATCCACTCATCTGTCGATGGACATTTAGGTTGTTTCTGTGTCCTGGCTATTGTAAATAGTGCTGCAATGAAACAACCAAGACATGGAAACATCCCTGGTTCTAAATTCTGGTTACCCCACCAAGAACAAATATTCAGTAAGTACTGGCTTATTCTTATGCACTGTGTCTCTCAGTATTTCAATTATTTCCCCACTACTTCTGTCCCATCTCTGTGGTCCCTCATCATGTCTTCCTCTGAAATGACAGGAGACTAGCATGTCTCCGGCACAATTATTGCATTGGCCCCAGAGAGATCTTTCTACAGTGTAAACCTACTCGTGTATCATAGTTTCCTTTCTTCAGATATTTGACCGGTTTTGTATTAAATTTAGAAATACCCTAATTGTATAACAGGGCAATTACTGATTTTTGTCTTGCCAAGCCAATTTCATCTTTTACTGTTCTTAATCTCCCCCACATTGTTTTCCAGGCATTTAGGATTATTTTTCATATTGTAAGTATGCAATGCACTTCTTAAAAATTGTGATAAAACTCACATAACATAAAATTCACGACTGTGATCATTTGAAAGTATACAATTTCATGGCACTTAGTATAGTCACAGTGTTGTGTGAACATCACCAGTATTTAGTTCCAGAAATTTTTTGCTATCCTAAAAGAAAACTTCGTACCCATCAAGCAGTCATTCACCATTTACCTTTCCTCTAATCTCTGTCAACCACTAATCCAACTTCTGTTTCTATGTATTTGTCTATTCTGGATATTTCATGTAAATAAAACCATATGATACGTATGTAGCCTTTTGTGCCTGGCTTCTTTTGGTTATTATTACTCCACATTTTTACACCCCAATTTCTTCTGCCAGGAGAACTCGTACCTTGAAAATTCCAATTCCTCCATCAAGACTCATTCCAACATTTTTCTCAGGGTGCATACTCTAATTTACCCTAGGTCTTTATTGCCCCCCGCTCCCTGACAGAGCTGAACAGTATTTATTGCACTCTGTCGACACTGTTTTGCCTACTGTGAGATTTTTTAAAAAATATTTATTTAACTGGCTGTACCGGGTATTAGGGGCAGGATCTTTTCTTTTCTTTTCTTTTAGTTGCAGCATCTGAACTCTTAGTGGTGACATGTGGGATCTAGTTTCCTGACCAGGGATTGAACCCAGGCCCCCTGCATTAGGAGCGTGGAGTCTTAACCACTGGACCACCAGGGAAGTTCCCTGGTGGTCCCTTTTAAGGAGATGGTAGCTGTCTGGCTCCAGCTACTTTTTACCCAGTGAGAATATGGTCCTCAAGCTGTCTAATCTTTCAAATTGTCAAGAGAAACCATAAATCTAGACTGTATATGAACCTCCCCCCAATTTGGTAGGGAAGTCCCTATCATGGGATATTACTTTTAGTGTTTTGGTCCTAGTCCCCTCTTTGATGGAAAGAGTAGCATCTTATCCCTTCCTTTATTCCAGAATACAGTTAAATGTTCAATTTAGAGTAATCATTGCTAATTATTTCCTGAATAAAAGAGTTTGAAT